GTGTGTGTGTGTGTGTGTGTGTGTGTGTGTGTGTGTGTGTGTGTGTGATTTTAAAACCTCAGCCCTGAAGATTTTCCTGTGCTTGCCAAATATAGATGCCAGCTGTCTCACTATGGCTACGACTGCCTCAGGGCTTATTCATCTTTCAGTGCCCAGGCCTATTTTGCTGTGGCAGCTGCTGGGAAACACTGCCTGCCCTCTGACAACAGGGGCTGTTCTGCCCAGAAGGCTGTAGGCCAGCTGGTGAGCGCTCCCTGCTCTTCTTGCCTCCACCCCTCTTTGGTTTAAGCAGAATGGAGCACAGTGTGGTTTGGCTCCAGGAGAAGGATGGTGACCAGCTGCTCAGTAAAATGGTGGCAACAGCCCCTAGCCCAGCTCTGCAGGGTGTTGCATGACTGTATGCCCAAATACGGTGATTTGGCTGGGCAGCCAGCTAGCCACTTTCTAGTACAGTCACCCCATTTTCATACATAATTGCCTGCACTGTGTACACAAAATGGGTATCGCTTTTTAAACCGTCTGACCTTGACCGTTATTTTTAGGTTTTTCCCCTCTGTCCTAACTTTTCTCTCCCCAATTGCCACTATACTCTTCCTTTCTACCTTCTTTCATCCTCTCCCTCCCTTTTGTTTCTAACTCCCTCTTTACTAACATCTTGTTTATTCACCACACCAATGATCTTCTTAACACTGGGGCTCTCCCCTTCCACATGTGCGTGAGGGCTACGTTGTGGAGGGTGGGCAGGAGCCAGAGTGAATCTGAAACTTTCACCCCTCCTTTTCTTGAAGTCAGTGGAACTACTCACATATGTAAAGTTAAACTAAGTGTTTGCAGGATCAGACCCCACATGTGGGTGAGTTGACACTCAGCCTTCCTTTTCAGTTACATTATTCAGAAAACATACATGATTGATGAGTAGGGTGAGTGGGAATAGTTTACTTGTCTGTCCTTTGGACTGTGAGCCGCACAAGGCAAGGAAACTGCCCTCTTCTCTGATGGAGCGCTCCTAAACCGTTGTAGCCACTATTAGAAAGAATTATTGAAAATAAATAATAATCCATGATGCAGCATGGAAAGATTGGGACAAAAAACAATGCTAGGATACTTGTAAGGAATTTCTACCATGGAAACCATCTTCAGAACCATTAACACAATCCTTTTCCAGCAGTTGCTGTACAAATAGCACTTTGCTATCAAAGGTTTCTGGTGACTTTTGTTCAGTTACTAAGCAGACTGTTCCAAAGGACCATTAGAGTAGCTTTTGCTGCCAGCTATCAAGGGCAAAATATTGGATGGTGTGTTGCATTCAGTGACTTTTTTTTTTTTTTTTTTGAGTCGATTGGCAAAATGTGCCATTTCCACAACAATATGTTCTGCTAGAAAATTTGCTGAGGCAGACACATGATATCAATGCAGTATAATGAGCTGTCAAGGGGAACGGCTCTCCTATTTGCAATACTTACTTACTGTTCTTTGACACATTGGATTGCAGGTCAGTTTTCCTTTTCATTCTCCTTATTTTAATGCATAAAATCAATATGCCTTTTTCTTCATCTAGGATTGCATTCAAGCCAAGGGTGATGTCTTGACTGTATTAACCTGAAGAGATGGCTGTTCAATGGTTCAGCTGCCTTTACTCCATTCCTTTGTCACCCTGCCCCCTCACATACATGAAACTGCATTGGTGACAAAGGTCACTGCACTGTGGTGGAATTTCTGATTAGTATAACTTTATTTTATAATGCATCTGTTACACAAACTGTGTCATCAGATGCCCTAGAGGATTAAATATACCTACTGAGTCAAAGGGAAAGAGAAATTGAGGCCTACACAAGGGAGAAGACCGCAAATCTTGTGGACCTATTTCAACTGTGTGTTTTGTAAAGTTCCACACATGCCTGTTTGGCTCAGTATGAAAATAAATGGATTTGAAAATATAGAGGTTAATCAATTAAGACAGAGATTTAGGGTGAACGTCTACATTTAATGGAAATAAATGAGAACTCTATGAAAAATATATATTTAAGGAGAACCACCCCAAAATGTTGTGTTAATGGTACAAAATTGTGTTTTGTATCGCAGCATATGAGCCCTTTCGTGATTATTGCTTAAACACATGTATCTGATCAAATGCTTCTTAGTTGCTCCTTATTGGATATAGGTCGTGGGGCAGCAGGTCGGATCAGGGACATAGCTGACAGCAAGGGTTTTTTGTTGTTGTTGTTTTTTAATGACATGCACACCAGCTGCCTCTTAGTTCCTGATTTATCAGAGCTTTCATATGTGAACTAGTAATTTCTGACGACATCTACTACTAATCAGTGTTAAGCCTGCATCTCTTAAACAGCCTACCCTTCATCAGACAATCTGTTAGCTCTCCAAACTCGCACAAGTCTTACTTTTAGACTTGGTTAGATATTATTAGATTTTTAAGGCCAGGCAGTACCCATAGATAATCTGCTCTGACCTCCTTTATACTACATGCTGCTGTATGCAGGTAAAACTGATATTTTTCATATATTCTGTTCTTTCTTGAGGTACAATGTTAATCAGATTTCTATGAACTCATATCCACATTGCTCCTTTGAAGTTCATATCAAAGGTGGATGTTTTCCCATGTTGCTCATCCACCACCCTCAGGAATAATGGCGTATTAAGCGTATATGGTGTGTCCTCTGACACTCTCGCTATTAAATCAGAAGTAAGTGTTTGAAGTTCCCCTACATGGTTCAGCACTGTTTCCTGTGAGGTTTATATTCAAAGTGGCATTCCATTTTACTTGACTTAATTCCATATTTGATATTATTGTACAGAGGAGTATCCCATATGGGGTATTTTTATGCAGCATATCACACAAATAAAGCAATATTATTTTCACTATAGGGGGCTTTCGTCTTAACAAAATTGAACATAGTGTTAAGCTACTTATTACATATTTATCCATACTAGGAATATACATATCACTGCTCTGTCAAAATACCTTAAAATCTGTTTATGAAGCTGGACATTTTTGACTTCTAGGGGAAAAAATAGTGTTTTGCAGATAATTTTAAACAATCTGCCTTAAAACAAAATCAACATTGTGTTGTAATCATAAACCAGTTCAATAGGGTATTTTCCCCCTCCAGCTTCAAAAAACTTGCAGTCACTTCCTTAACTAGAGCGCTGGGTGAGAATTGCCATTTGGAAACTGTCCCACTCTTTTACTCGGTTGGCAGCTGGTGGCTTTTGCTGACCGTGCTTCCTAGGGCTTTCCTACATGGCCAGTTAGTGTGCGGTAGGCAAGCCAGGGTGTGAATCTACAGCGCGCCAGCTTGCAGCTCTCTAACTCAGCATGTGGATACTTCAACAGCCATGCTCCAGGACTTTCACTGCGCTGTATCAGTCTCCACACCGAGTTAGCACATGCGAAACTGGAGCACTGTAGATTCACACCCTGACTTGCCACACACTAACTCACCATGTAGACAAGTCTCCCCAACTCTTTCATACGTTGTACTAATGCGCACAATCCTGTTACCCTGCCTTATTTTGTTTTATACGACCCCAAAAGACGTGATGCAACAGGAATTGGTCTCTATGTGCATCTGTATAAAAGAAAACATGGTGGGAGGGTGAGATATTAAATACCCCTGGATAGTTTATATAGTGGGAATCTTACCCTTTGTTTTTGCACTGTTTACAAAAAGCATCCTTTTCTCAAATGTTCAGGCAATTCGTACTTTACCATTTCCATGTTATTACTTTATTCTCAAATAGTGTAAGTCGACAAATGCAGTTGCCTCTCATTGATAGATCCTTGGAAGCATCCACTAACACATTTTGTATCTCTTGAAGTATTTTCCCGGAGTCCCTTCGGTGGCTGATGGCTACACAACAATTTGAGGCAGCCAAGAAACTTATTCTTCACTTCACTAACAAGAACGAGATGAACGTTGAAAGTGATATCAAAGGAGTGATGTCCGGTGAGTAGGTTTGCCCAACAAGTCAGGCAGTGGAAGTCCAGACATACGAATTGCTTTGTTTTTTGCAAGTATTCATGTGGCATAACTGCCCCGGATTAAATAATCAAGCCACCGTCTGTAAAATTACCCTATTTATTCATTCATTTATTTTACAATTGTTGAAATACAGTCCTGAACTCAGTAGCTGTGTTTAAATTACTCTGCTCATTGGATAGTCCTAGCAGTTATATTATTTCTCATTTTTCAGTGCAATATGTTTTTAGAGATGTCTCTCAATACATTTCACCATGGCTAGAGAGACCACCATTAGCCTTTTTCTATTAGCCTTTGTCTATAAATGAGATTATGCTCTTCAGAACACATTAATTTATTCATATCGAAAAGTGGCAGCAGCCAAGCAACAAATTCGAAGTAATATCCATTAAGCAGATCTAAAAATAGTCCCAATTTCTTTCCATTTCTTAAAATCTTACTTTGCTCGTCATTTCACTTTCCTTTTTAAGTCACTTTGAATTTTTAAGACAGTTTCCTGGTGATGGTCAAGGTAGCTTTTGTTGGAAATTTAAACCTGGTTGGCTGGTTGCTTGAAGCTTTTAAGAAAAGCGGACTGTTATTGTCGCTAAGATTGTCATTGACATGGTGATGTTATTGTCCTTCAGAGTGTTTCAGAAAGCGAAGGGCTTTATATGGCTCTGTCTGTGTACAATTATAACAAAGAAGAAAATTTTTCTGAAGCGCCTCCATCTCTGTTGTTGCACCTGTCAAATTCTTGTCAAGCTCCCCTTTACTCTTCAAAGCACTGGCAGTGCCCAGAAATACCCTTAGAATGTCCCTTAGAATCAGTATCTGAACAGTCACCCAGAAGCCAGCTAGTACATTTTTTCAGTGTACTTTTATGGCTTAACTGTTCTTCGGTTAAGTCTGCTCTCACTGCCCATCACTATGAATTAGTGCATTTCACCCCAGTACAGAAAACTCATTCAATACCTCATGAGCAACTGAAATCCCAATTAAACCCTTAACATGGGAATAGATTAATCCATAGGTTCTTGCGATGGCCTTCTCTGCACTCAGGTGAATTTTACCCACAGAGTGAAAAATGTCGCTATTGCACCAGAAGCTAATAGACTAAATGATACTCTTATCCTCAATATTTGTACATTAAAAATTGAAATCCTAGCCAGATGTTTGCTTCATCTTGGTATTTATACCAAGTGGTCTGTTATGTGCTGAGTATGGCCCAATCTACTCTGTTGTGATGCTTATTAGATTATAATATTGTTTTATGTATATATTGTGGTAAACTGTCAATATATATTCTATCTTAGATTACAGTATGTGTATGTAAATTATATGAAATATTAAAACTACATTAAAAAATGTTATTTAGGACTTAGGTTTTAAAATCAAGTATTAGAAAGTTAGGAAATACATTTGGCAACCTGAATTCTCCCTCATGGGCATCCAACCTGTTGAGTGAATGGGACAGGATAAAGTCTGTGATTCACAACTTAGCTCCTCTGGCACAATGGAACTTTCTATAATAAGGCTAAAGCTCTCCTGTGCAGGAGACAGAACTTTCTTGGGGGCTGGTCCAAAACTGTGGAATCAACTCCCCCAGGAATTAAGGACCATCACAAATCTCATCACCAAATGCAAGGTGCATTTTTTTTACCTTGCCTTCGCTAACATAAACATATAGCAGTGAGTGTGTATATATTATTGAAAACAAAACAAAAAAACACACAACTTCCAAAACAAAATACATGATAGATCAGGGGTCAGCAACCTTTTAGAAGTGGTGTGCCGAGTCTTCATTTATTCACTCTACTTTAAGGTTTCGCGTGCCAGTAATACAATTTAATGTTTTTAGAAGGTCTCTTTCTATAAGTCTATAATACATAACTAAACTATTGTTGTATGTAAAGTAAATAAGGTTTTTAAAATGTTTAAGAAGCTTCGTTTAAAATTCAATTAAAATGCAGAACCCCCTGGACGGGTGGCCAGGACCCGGGCAGTGTGAGTGCCACTGAAAATCAGCTTGCGTGCCACCTTCGGCACGCGTGCCATAGGTTGCCTACCCCTGTGATAGATCTTCCTCGTGTTGCTTAATGCACTGCTGGAAGGTGCTCAGATACTATACTGAAGAGGGTAGCCTGAGAACCTATATAGAATAGAATATCATGTCCTATGGAAAATATAATATGTGATCATGTAATTTAAAAACTGTATCATAATGCATACACACAAGGGGGGTCAAATTAAAGGCACACGGGCAACTTTAAAATCAGCATATCCAAACTTTATACTACAGATGCTCCTTGGGTTACACAAACCCAACTTGCGCAAATCCGGACTTATGGAAAAAGTTCCGTACGCTTTTTTTTTTGGGCATAATTGTTGGGTATACGTTCCCGACTTACAAAATTCGACTTATGCAAGGCGTTCCGGAACGGAACGCTTACGTAAGTCGGGGAGCGTCTGTATTTGAATTTGCAACCTAAATAACCTTTTTTAACTGTGGTGGAAGGGCTGATTTGTGTGTTTAATTTTTGTATGTTTACAATTTGTATTCAGTTTAGAGAGCTGCATTGACTTGAAATCCTATATTCATCTTATATTGTGTGATATGGCATAGGGCTAAGGCATTATATTAATTAAAAACACGGTTATTTTTAATATAATTTCCTGGTGGATTTTTTAAAAGGAAAAAGGTTAAAACAAATTCTGTCACATACAACTTGTGACAGACCCAGACCAGTGGGGTACAGGAGTCTGGTAGAGGGCAAATATACTGGTCACTGGATGAGTAGTTTTCTGTTCCCTGAGTGACCAGAGCAGGGGCTGCACTAGAGTAATCAGGAACCTGCTAGAACCAGTTAAGGCAGACAGGCTAATTAGGACACCTGGAGCCAATTAAGAAGAAGCTGCTAGAATCAATTAAGGCAGGCTAATCAGGGCACCTGGGTTTTAAAAGGAGCTCACTTCAGTTTGTGGTGCGAGTGTGAGGAGCTGGGAGCAAGAGGCGCAAGGAGCTGAGAGGGTGTGCTGCTGGAGGACTGAGGAGCACAAGCGTTATCAGACACTAGGAGGAAGGTCCTGTGGTGAGAATAAGGAAGGTGTTTGGAGGAGGCCATGGGGAAGTAGCCCAGGGAGTTGTAGCTGTCATGCAGCTGTTACAGGAGGCACTATAGACAGCTGCAGTCCACAGGGCCCTGGGCTGGAACCCCACATTTCACTGACCTGCAACTGAGTTGGTATAATTGTGGTTTTATAGATCTGCAGCTTTGTAGTAACCTAGATGTCCCAATGTCTCCACAGAGGCCGCTGAAAGAGCTGGAACGTGGCAGTTGCTGCTACTATAGGAGTATTAGCATTTTTCCAACATCCTCCAGCACTGTCTGTGATGCTTCCCAAGTATTTGAAAGTTGCCGCTTGCTTGATATCAATCCTGACATGTTAATGCTGAGCTGGCTGTAATGGAGGCTGCTTGTTGATAATGGGCAGGGACTTAGTTTTTTCTGGATTAATAACCAGCGCAATGTGTGTTGCTTCTTGCCAGAAGAGAGTGGCTCTTAGCTGCAGCAATTCACCAAACTGAGCCAGGGAGATGTCATTAGTGTAATTCGCTGTCTCAAAACAAACTGACATTCAGCTCGACACCACCGAGAGTGCCTCATCAACCTAATCCATCAGCCAGTCAGTGGCAATGTTGAGCAATGATGGTGACAAGATGCAGCCTTGCCAAACTTCTGTGGGAAATACGGACCCATGCCGTGTATCTGCCACTGATGCAAACACAGCTTTCTGTTCCATTCTAGGGCTCCTCTGTCAATGACAGTATCTTCCCAGGAATGCTGTATCACCTCATGACATCCCACAAACTTGCTCGATGCACTGACTGAGACCTGACAGAAGTCTATAAAAAGTGCTGCGCATGGCTTACTAAATTCAGCCATCTTCTCAAAAAGCTGTCTCCAGGTAAAGATCTGGCTGAAAGTGGAGGGACCAGGTCTGAAACTGCACTGAGTATCCCAGCCTCTGCCTCACAGTGCATCGCTGATTCGAGACACAAACTCAGAAGCAAAGACATTCCCTGGGACCAACAACAGTGTAATACTTCTAGCTGCTACAATTGGCCGTATCCCCATGTTTGACCAGAGGCAGAATAACACCCTTCTTCTAGTCATTGAGGATGATGTTAGCGTGTTAGATGGTCTGGAAGAATATGAAGCTGTGGCACAATACTCTCCTCTGTTACCCTACAGGGTCGGTGCGTTCACATAGTGAGGGCGTTTCTACTGAAGCTGACTGACCACCCTGTGACAATCCGCTCAAGTGTCCTTGAAGCTGAAAAGGTCAAGGGTTTGTGTCTGCCACTGGGGCAAAAATGACCAATGAAAACCTGGTCATCAGTGCAAAAGGGCCATCCTGGTATCTTGCATGTTGGCAGCAAATGAGGAAAGCAGATGCTTCTGCTTTATGTTTTAAGTGTCGAGTGAAGGATGGGCGATAAGCTTGTACTTGTACACAACAGATGTCGGGGGCAGCGTCTCAATATTGGTGCAGAAATTCCATATTTTCATTTTTCCTATTGTTGAGCTGTCCGCCAGTCTATTTTAACTGCCTTGTGTCTTCCAGCGGAAAAGACAGTGTATAGCTTTGCTTTAGCTAGGATCCCATTGTCCCTCAATATTCTGACTCACTATATTATCACACATAGCCCTGTGTGACAGAATTACACAATACATCTAAATGATAGACTGCTTCCGTAGGTCCCTAGCAAAGAAAATGTGAAGCAATCTGCAGCTGGAAAACCCACTGTAATTCTGCTTGTATGTTTCCATCAAATTAATATATGCAACACAACAGATCATTACAGCAACTACTTTAGTCACAGAAATGCCCTGAGGAAGTTCGTGAATGCTGATTCTTTATTATGGAGCTTGTAAGTGGGTGAACTCGTTTTCGGGTGGAGGGGGAAACTCCTTGGACTTGAA